GGAACCGAGAACTCAGTCTAAATAATGTGTTTATATATATATATATATATATATATATATATATATATATATATATATATATATATATATATATATATATATATATATATATATATATATATATATATATATATATATATATATATATATATATATATATATATATATATATATATATATATATAATAATAATAATAATAATAATAATAATAATAATAACAATAATAATAATAATAATAATAGTAATAAAAACACTCATCTAATTTTTCATCGGGAAGCTTCTAGATGAACCTACCAATGGAGAAATAAATTTTTGAAAACAAAAATTAGATTAGTTTTTTTATTAATTCATTATTACTTTTCTTTAAGAACATTCAGCCAACCAACTGAGCTATCCAGTCACCATTAAGTTTTAACTTTAGGTTTTTCATACATTAAATGAAGATAGCTGAGGAAAAAAAAAAAATTTAATGGAAAAAAGGTAACCCCCATTAACAGCACACTTTCACCTATAGTGAATTAATAAAAAAAGTTCAGGTTTTAATGCATAAAATATTTAAAGATTGGTTTTATAAGCAAATAAATATTTGTATTAAAGTTTCAACTTATATGAATATTGAAAATGTAATAAACAAAATGAATAATAAAAGAAAAACAAGAATATTTAGTAAAAAACTTAAATACATTAAAATTGTTTCCCAAAATTACCATTACACAAATTAATATCAAATTTCTAGAATATTTTTAGATTTGCATACAGAACAAATTCTAAAATGAGCTATTCTGAGAAACAAAGTAAGAATGTAAACAAAAATCTAATAATTATATCAACATAATGTCTGCAATTCATTGACTCCAAGTTTATTTTTGATATATTTTTGTAGGGTTCATATTTTATAAGACTTAAAAAGAAGTACAATTTTTTCTGATTGAGATATCATTTTTGTTCATTCTTCGAGGAGATGAAATGAATGCAAATCTACAACAAATGAAGAAAATAATGCAGAAATATATGGAATTTCTTTTACTGAAAAATTTTGAGTCTCTCTGCAGTCCATGACATCTGCATAAACATAAATGCTTATAAATAAAAAAAAATTATTTATAAGCATTTATGTTTATATTAATGCTCTAAAAGCTTAAAAATCTAAAAATTTTCTTGCTAAACTTTAAATTTAAACTTAAATTTCTGAGCTTTGTCATGGACTCTAAAGACTGCTTTTTAAAAAAAAAGGTCCTTAAAACTAAAAATCTTTTAAATACAATGTGTCAAATGTTGACTAGCTGACGAAAACTTGAAAAACATCTTCTTTTGGGGAAAGAATCATCTTTGTATATGTACTTTATATATAAAAACTTAATAATAATATAAATACAATAAACCTTTGGAAGTTAATAAAGTTTGAAACTTATTAGGAACCGAGAACTCAGTCTAAATAATGTGTTTATATATATATATATATATATATATATATATATATATATATATAATAATATATATATATATATATATATATATATATATATATATATATATATATATATATATATATATATATATAATAATAATAATAATAATAATAATAATAATAATAACAATAATAATAATAATAATAATAATAGTAATAAAAACACTCATCTAATTTTTCATCGGGAAGCTTCTAGATGAACCTACCAATGGAGAAATAAATTTTTGAAAACAAAAATTAGATTAGTTTTTTATTAATTCATTATTACTTTTCTTTAAGAACATTCAGCCAACCAACTGAGCTATCCAGTCACCATTAAGTTTTAACTTTAGGTTTTTCATACATTAAATGAAGATAGCTGAGGAAAAAAAAAAAATTTAATGGAAAAAAGGTAACCCCCATTAACAGCACACTTTCACCTATAGTGAATTAATAAAAAAAGTTCAGGTTTTAATGCATAAAATATTTAAAGATTGGTTTTATAAGCAAATAAATATTTGTATTAAAGTTTCAACTTATATGAATATTGAAAATGTAATAAACAAAATGAATAATAAAAGAAAAACAAGAATATTTAGTAAAAAACTTAAATACATTAAAATTGTTTCCCAAAATTACCATTACACAAATTAATATCAAATTTCTAGAATATTTTTAGATTTGCATACAGAACAAATTCTAAAATGAGCTATTCTGAGAAACAAAGTAAGAATGTAAACAAAAATCTAATAATTATATCAACATAATGTCTGCAATTCATTGACTCCAAGTTTATTTTTGATATATTTTTGTAGGGTTCATATTTTATAAGACTTAAAAAGAAGTACAATTTTTTCTGATTGAGATATCATTTTTGTTCATTCTTCGAGGAGATGAAATGAATGCAAATCTACAACAAATGAAGAAAATAATGCAGAAATATATGGAATTTCTTTTACTGAAAAATTTTGAGTCTCTCTGCAGTCCATGACATCTGCATAAACATAAATGCTTATAAATAAAAAAAAATTATTTATAAGCATTTATGTTTA